GTTTTTCAAATGTAGCACATTAAAAAAAATGGAGGCCCACATATTTTAAATGATAATATTGTGCTACAGGCCCAAATACAAACACAATAAACAAAAAAATAAGCCCAAAAAACCCTACTTTTCGATTCCCTTTTGATTTCGATAAGATATACTGCTAATATTCATGTTTGATATACTACTTAAGTGTTTGATATACTGATGTCATAGTCTTATATACGTCTGATATGAATGTTTCATATCAATATGTATGCATCCCTGATATAAATGTGATATACAACTTATATGAGTGTGTGATATACTACTCATATGTATATCTGATATACATGTGATATACCATTTATATGAGCGTTTGATATACTGCTGATATTAGTGGTTGATATACTAGTTTTATGAGTGTCTGATATACTACTGATGTTAATGTTTGATATAATATTGATGTGATAATCTGATATACACCGAATATGAGTATATACTTGTGATATACCATTTATATGAGCGTCTGATATACTGCTGATATTAATGGTTGATATACTAATTTTATGAGTGTCTGATATACTGCTGATATTAATGTTTGATGTACTACTGATGTGATAATCTGATATACACTTAATATGAGTGTTTCATGTCAATATGTATATCTGATATAAATGTGATAAACTACTGATATGAGTGTATGATATACTACTGATATGTATATATGATATACTATTTATATGAGTGTCTGATATACTGCTGATATTCGTGTTTGATATACTACTGATATAAGTGTCTGATATACTACCGATGACATAGTCTCATATACACCTGATGTACTAGTGATATGAGTGTTTTATCTACTACTGAATGACAGTTTGATATATTACTAATATGAGCGTCGAATATACCATTGATGTGATAGTATGATTTACATACGATACGTGATAGTCTGATTTACATACGATACGTGATAGTTTGATTTACATATGATACAGTGCTGATTTTACTCTAACGAAAATGAAATATGATATTGTGGTGCAATAGTGCAACAATATTCAAAATTAGAATCAATATATAACATTATCAAGATGCTAACACCAACCCACATGGAAATCTTTAAAAGTTGACCATTTGGACACTTTATGTCGTTTAATATTAGAAGATGCGCATTACAGTTATTAGTGCATCTAATTTGCCGAAAATCTGAAAAGAGCCCATTAGATGCACTGATATTCAAACTAGATGGGAACTTTGTAAGTTTTGGATTAAGGGAGTTTAGCTTGATTACAAGTTTAAACTATTTTGATGAATACCCTAGCATTGACCAAATTTAGGGGTTCATTAGATGTATATTAGGGGTACATCAGATGTATATCAGAAGTATATCAGAGGTACATCGGATGTACATCAGATATATATGAGATATAGATTGGATGTATATTAGAAATAGATATAGATCAGATGTATATCAGATGCCATAGAGGTAAAATTGGAATAATAAAAATTCTAAAAATAAAAATTCAAATATTTTGCTATATTTGAAATTTTGAAAAGCATTTTTTGAAATACCTAACATATTTTGGATACCCACTACAATTACAAAAAATTAAAAAAAAAATCTACTTTTGTATTTCTCTTTCTTAGTTGTCAATCATCTAATGGTAGGAAGACAAGTATTTTCCAAAATAAATTTGGGAGAATCCTAACAGTATCAATCATTATTTACTTCGTAAAAATGGCAATAAGTCTATGTGATTATTTCATTTATGAACGTAGGATTTGTGGCAAGATGAACAATATTTTTTTTTCTTTCTTGGAAGAAAAAACAATGTAGATCGACTAACAGCGTTCACATGTTTCAAAAGTTGTTGGTATTCAACCAATCTCTAAGCCAACCCTCTATATTCATTCTCAGCACATGGAAAATATACTAAGGGATCATTTGTTTTTGGGGATGTAGATGTCCGACATCTTCATGCCTGGAATGTCATATGTCCGAAATTTTAGATGTTTGGCATCTTCAGATGACCATGTTTGTAATATACAAGGACGTTCGGGAATATTTGGATAACCACCTTTGTTTTGCAGGATTCATTCATGGAATATTCTAAATTTATATAATGTTCAAAAAACGCCCTTACGAATATTCATATAATTTATAAATTAATCTAATAACATTTATATAATAGATTTTCTTAAAATTAATTTAATATTTTAGGTTTTTTTGTATTAATTGCGTATATGTATTAATTTTTTATGTTATTAGGTACAATTCATATTAATATAAGACTTTTTTAAAAGTAATTAATATTGAATATAAATTTCATTTTCAACTTTAATATTTTTTTAAAAAAAATACAATTATATAATTAATGTTATATGGGGTAAATTTTTTTATTATATTATCAAATTATATTCTTTTAAGAAAAAAAAAATATAAAAGGTGAGTTGATCTTTAGAAAAATGTTGTTTTAAAATTATGTATTTAAGATAATAGATATTATTCATAATTTTTTCTTTTTTGATTGAAAATATATTATTCATAATAATTCATTCTAAATATTAAAAATAAATTGAGATATTATGTAATTTAATTGAAGTTTATTTTATATGTACATGTAATACATAAATATACTTAATTGCTTATTAGTCAATGGATGTATTAATTTATTTAAACTATAGAATTACAAATAAAACCAAATAAATTTGAGAAAATAAAATATATGAAAAAATAACGAAGGGGTAAGAATGCCAACATAGGATGCCCTCGACATGGGAATCATGCAAACCCATGTTTCAAAAGAGCTTTCAAATCGACTTGAATTCCTTCCAAATGGACATCCTAGGATACATGAGCATCTTGAGATATTCGGGTATCTTACGTTAGCACAAAACAAACGTGGGAATCCGAATGACTGTCTCACGAGAATCTTGGATTCCACGAAATAAACGGCCCCTAATAATTTTGCTTGTTCTTGGACTTCCAATAAACTTAATAACATCCAATGAAAGTGCAAAATCTAAAAATAGACTTGTAAAAATAATATAGAAATAGACTTGCAAAAATATACTTTTCTTCTATATAATTCCTTTAATCTTAATAAAGTACTCTTTATTGTTCATTAATGAGTAATTTACCGGCACGCAACTCAATTCAAAGTAATTTATATCAAAGTGTAGAAGAGTAGCATAATTGAATGTTATTAATGGGTTGCTTAACTAAAAGTACAACTTGGATATGTATGTATGTATATATATGTGTACAACTTGGATATGTATGTATGTATATATATGTGTATATATGTATGTGTATGTATGAGAAATTTGTGTGCAAAGACCACTCAATATAATATATTCTAAAAATATGGAGACAAATAAAAAAAAAATTTTTAGAAGTGATTTTTTAATTATGTTAATGTTTGGTTGCAAAAGTTTATCAAATTATCAAATTACTAAAAAAAATTACTATATTTAACAATAAATTTAAATAAATAAATTATTATATAATTGATAGAATACGATTACAGTTAATTTATTACTTTATAAAAATCTTTTTTTAATTAGTTATTTTTTTCACTTTCCATCCTCTCCCACCGATTCCTCTTTTCCTAGCAATTTTTGTAAGAGTGACTATCCATGTCCTGGAGTGATCAAGCCCGTGCTGGTCGGCCTATGTTGGTTGACTTGACTTTGAGTGGTTGGCCTAAGGTGGTTAAACTCGGGTTGATGATTCGGACTAGTCAAAATAGGCCTTTAGGCCTGGGATATAAGTTGTCTTAAGATGGTTAGCCCATGCCTCCAGGTTTGATATGGCTGTATGGGGGCTAGTTGATAGAGGTACAGCTGGTTAAGTCGCTCGGGTTGGTTAGCCTGGACTGGTCGACCTAAGGTGGTCATGCTCGGGATGATCATCTAAAAGTGGACCGGCCACATTGGTCAGCTTGACGTAGGTTATCCAAGTTGTACATCTCAAAGTTATCGGCTCTTATTGGTCCACTCAGGTGGTCGCCTGAGTGGTTTGGTTGGGGTGGTTGGTCAAGGTTGTTCAGGCCCAAGGTCGTCGACGTAGGTTGGTCGATGCGTGCCGGTCGTCCTAGGTGTGGCCCAAGTTTGTCGGTTTGGGTTAGTCGGCCAAAGTTGGGCAGCTTTTGTTTCTCGGCATGGATTAGTTCAGGTTCGTAGGCTTAGGCTAGTCGAGGTGAAGATGGTCATCTAAGGTTGGTTGGCCTGAATTGGTTGATTTGAATTAGTCCAAGTTGGTTGGCTTTGTGGTTGGCCAAGGTTGAATGTGCTAGTTGGGCCTGGGTAGTCAGGTTCGGGCTCGGGTTTAACGACCTGAGTTGGTAGCCTAATGTAGGCAGTCATAGGCTGATAAACTCGAGTTGGTTAGCCGGTGTTAGTTGATTCAAGTTGGTCAACTCGTGCTACTCGCCTAAAGCTGGTTGATTGATTACTCCTCGAACGAATTTTCATAATCAATGAGGTGCTTGGTTATTTGAAGAGCTTGGGTTCTTACTTTTACAAATACCCAACTATCAAAAAGGGGTTTTCTACATATGGAAGAGCATCACATGCTAACTTTAAAATTAATTGCACTCCCAAAGCATTTATCCCCCTACATTATTTATTGCAATAAAGAGATTAAAGTGTATCGCCCCGAGTTTTCGGGTTACTTTTATTTTAAGATGTAAATTGAACCTTTGGATTCCATTGAGCTAATAATTAAATTATTGGATTTTATAATTTTGAAATTCTAATTTTGGGTAAATTAGAATTTAAGTTTAATTTCGTTAGATTAAGATAAATTTAGTTTTCAAATTTTGGAAAGATATTTTTAACTAAATTTTAATTCAAGTTTTGGAAATTTAATTTTTCCCTTTAGAATACTATTATTGAGTTATAAAAATAATTCAATCTCCTAAATTAATTTCCAAATTTTGTTTGAAGTGAGTTTTCCTTTTAACAAAAGGATCACGAAAATCTCCTCTCTTATTTAGGTCCTTAACCTTTTATTTTGTTTTATTATTTTTTTTTAAAAGAAAAAGAAAACAAGAAAAAGATAATCCAAAACCCTAGCCTCCACCTTGTTTTCTTCTTCTTCCTCCCAACACCCACAGCCGCCGCCCCTTTTCCCACCCCTCGCCGGCGCCGACCTCTCCGAAGACACAGCTTCCTCCGACGACGTGATAGCAGCAGCGCATCCGAGTGTGTTTGGGCAATTTTCGGCGTTCCACGGCGGCGACCCAAATCCGGCAGATCGTGCAATTTTCTTTCCCCCGGCGTGTTCTCCCCTTCTAGCAATGGTGGCTCGCGTTTCCGGTGTCCCTCGACCCACTCTTAACCCAAGTGGATTTGGTGTGAGTTAGGAATCCTTCGGCAAGCTTAGTAGCGTGTTAGGACCTTGTTGTAAGTAGTTCTTACTTGTGGGAATGTTTGTTGTATGAATATACATGAATTGTTTGGCGTGTTTTATGTGTTTTATTATATCTAGCAATGTTTATTGAATATTGATGTTGGATGTCTTTCTACCAATGTTGGATATTAAGTGCTTTGGATGAACTGTGTTGGGCTCTAATAGTTTAAAATTTGTTTGACTATGCTCTGTTATAACTAAATTCGCTCTGGAGTTCTTGTTAAGAATTGATATGTTATGAAAGCATGATTGGTTTGTTGTTTCGTTATTAGAATGTTGTTTATGTTGTAGAAGCATGTTGAGTTGTATTTGTGAGCTGAATGAATGCATGGGTCATAGCTTAAGGAAGTATGTAGTAGGACTCTGGAAAGAGTTGGTTCTGTTATGAAGTGAATGGGTGAGTGTCAAGGTTACACGGCTGACACGTCACTAGTTGGGTATCGAGGCTTCAAATAAATTGTCGGGGATCGTTACGTCAACTCTGGACAAAGATGAGTTTCGAAGCTTCGAATAGATGGTCTGGGGTCGATGCGATGAATCTTAGAGGGAAGTCAAGTATTGGGGCCTTGTGGAAAAAGGACAAGGACCAATATGTTGCAAAGTCGTCGAAGCCTTGAATAGATAGTCAAGGGTCGATGAAACAGTTTGAGGCCCGGGTAAAGGTCGGAGATCGAACGCTAAGTGCCGTAGAAAAGTGTCGAGGCTCTGAATAGATGGTCAGGGGTCGGTGGGACTCGAAAGAATAAGCCTTGGAGGAATAATGAGAGAGAATGAGTGAGTCGTGATGTGAGGATTTGGTTTTGGCATATAGAATGCATGTTTAGTCAAGCTTATGTATAAATTGTTCAATTTTATTTAAAGCATGATGTTAATGACAAGCATGATGTTTGGTTGATGTGTAAGCATGTTTGAGCGTGACCCTTCAGGTTAGGGCTGCTTACTAAGTACTAGTTTTTGTACTCACCCCCTACTTTTCTCGTAGAATTTGCAGGTAACGAGGTCACTCACGAGAATGGTGGTGGCAAGGAGGAGAATTGATGAAGAGAGACCATAGTGCTGCGCATTTAATTTTCATGTTGAATAGGATTGTAGAAGTTGTTTCTTTTAGCTTGAGTTTGATGTTTGGTTAACTGTTTAGTTTTGCTTAGTTTCTGTTTAAAGAATGATTTAAAGTTGTGATTTTACTATTCTTTGAGAACTATAGTTTTGATTATCTATTCGGGTTGTGGCATTGAAGTTTATTGAGGTTAGCTATCATTGTGTTGTTTCAAGATGAAATGAGACTAGTGTTGGCTTCGTAGATAAGAGTTGTTTAGTTGATAATTTATGAAACTTAGTAAGGTTGCTTACAAAGTCATGGAATAAAGTGTAGTTATCCTCTTGATTGGATTGAGTTAAATAAGATGTTTTAGTAACGTACTCCATTTAAGTTGTTTGAAATTTGGGGGCGTTACATAAAGGGTTTTATACTGGAAGGATCTTATATAATATATAAATATTGAAAAAATTAAGCATTCCTCAATCAAACTATTAAGACTAGAGTAGCTTTCTAACCTTTAGGGCCATTCGCTGGGGGTTTACTAGGTGGGAATGGGCATGGGCAAGTAAAGTCGTGGATTGTTTGACAAATTTGAAAGCTTTTCATAGGAATAGCTTATTCTCAAGCATCCTTTATTCAAATGGATAAAGACTTTTGTCTGCTCCCCATTTTCATGAGTTTGTCCACGGGTTTTGTGTCAGATTTTTATTTCTCTCCTTTTCAATAAATTATTTTTTTTAAATATAATTATTTACTTTATTTTATTAACATAAAATAATTAAAATTAGTCAAACTATTTAAATTAAATTTAGAATTAATAAAACAACATTAAAAATTTATCTAAATTAATTTACTGAAACATATTCTTAATTTTTTATATAAAAATGTAATATATGGGTGCAATTGATAGAATGAAAGTATTAATTTCGTTAAACACATGATAATTATAAGATTGAATTGCTAAATAAAATCAAAAAATAAATTTAGATATATTGTTTATAATATATTTACTAATGAGTGAAATTTAAATTAAAATATAATTGCTTAAAATAATTTTAATATTTTAACTTAATAAATATTATATTAATTAATGTAAATTAATTTTTATTAATTTTAAAGCTTTATATGCACATATCATTTTGGTAAATATGTATATATTGAATTTTTTGGATCATTATGCTAAATTGTCAATTTAAAATTTAGAATGTTAATATAAAATAATTTATAAATTAAAATTGTTCAACTTATAGAATTTATTTTTAATTAAATCTGATGAGTTATTAATCCATGTTTACAACCAAATACAATTATGTTTGATTCCCAAGCATATTATTCCTACAACTTAATCCTAGATTAGCTTTTTGAAGCATTCAACCAAACGGTCCCTTTAAGCCCGTTTGTAACCATTTTAGTTCTTAGGTTTTTGTTTTTCTAGTTTTTATTTATTTTATTTTTTTTCTATTTTTAAAAAATAAAAATCATATATGTTTGATAACCATTTTTTGTTTTTTGTTTTAAAAAACAAAAACCAAAACATGTTTGGTAACCATTTTTAGTTTTTAGTTTTTAAAAAGTTAGAAAATTGAAAATACTATTAGAGAGAGAAAATTTTATGTAGAGTAGAGTTAACAATGGTGTGGGTGCGAGCGAGGATGCTCTCCCGCATTCTCGGGCTCGTAAAAATTTTTAGTCTCCGTCTCCACCTCGTTCTTGGGTCCGAGAGATGTTCTCGAGAAAAATTATCGGTTTTATAATTGTTTTTAATTATTTTTAGAATTCAAATATAAAAAAGTGTAATAAATATATATTAATTATTTAAAAAATGGAATCGGGGACGGGGAGAGGGTCGGGACATGCATTTTATATTTTTGGGATCTGACCCTGCGGAAATTTTTGTCTTCCCCACATGTAGAGACATGAAAATAGAGATGTAAATAAAATTTTGGAAGATAAATTTTAGAGAGATAAATAAAAATATTTAGAAGAAAAAATAGTTAAAAAAAAGTTAAAGACAGAAAGAGAAAAATTTTGGAGAAAAAAATAAAGTTGAGAAGAAAATATATGTTAAAGAAAAAAAATAAATTATAAAGAAAGAGAAAATTTATAGTGGAAACAAATTTAGAGATAAAAACAAGATTCAAAATATAATTTTTATAGAAAATAAATAAATACACAAATAAATAAAAGTTACAGGAAAGAAAATTGAATGAGAAAATAAAATATAATTTTTAGAGGAAAAAATAGATTATGAAGAAAAATAAAAATTATAAAATATGAAATTTTGGAGAGAAAAAAGTTAGGAAAAATATTAAATTTTTAGGCAGAGAAATGAAACTGACATGTTAGACAAAAAAAAATACAGCAAAATCTGGAGAGAGTCAAATAACAATGAAAATTTTAGAGAGATAAAAATAAAGTTCGTAGAGAGAAATTTAGAAATAAACAAATATTAGAGTGAAAAATAAATTTTTCAGAGATAAATATAAGAAAAAAAAAGTTAAAGTAGTAGAAGAAAAAATGAGATTTTGAAAATCAAAAACTTGTTTTAAAAAACTTTTTTTTTTGTTTTTGAAATTTACACAGAATTTGAAAATGGTTTTTGAAAAAAAAAAATAGAAAATTGAATTGGTTATCAAAAAACCTATTTTTTAAAAAACTAAAAACCAAAATCCAAAAACTAGAAATAAAAAACGAAACAGTAATCAAACCTACCTTTAATGTTATCAAATATCTATTGTGAATTCAAGGGAGGAAAAATGTATAGAGAATGCAAAGATAGTTAGAGTTTCATTGAACACTTGTTTGAATAGATACAAACTTGTTGGATACGAATTCTAGCCTGCCATGTGTCATGACCGGAAAAGTGAGTTGGGTGAACACGCTAACGAAATGTAGAAATTGACTCGAAAATACTCAGGTCGGCAGTCAGGGTAGGACCACAGTGCCGAGCCGACCTGAGGCAAAGTCCGTAACAATGTCCCTTCCGTACCCGACAACACGCCGCGATCTTAGGGTGTGTCAGAATCCCTGTCGGGGCCAGTTTCTATAAATAGAAACCCTTGCCTTAAATGCAAGGAACACAATCCTAGATAGACTCGACAAGTAAGCTTGGACTAGAACTGACTTGCTCGTCGGAGTGCTAACTTTGTTTTGCAGGTCTCCAGAGTGTTCTGGAAAGGTGTTGGACCGTTGGCCACAGTTCATCCTGAACGTTCCGATCTACGTTACATCCGAGCTCAGTAATTTCGGGCTCAAACATCTGGCACCGTCCGTGGGGATCGACACGTCTAGAAGTCAGTCTCATCTTTTGCAATCTGAGCCAATGGTCCAAACCCGCTCCCAGCACTCACGATCTCAACTTTCACCAACCCGCTCTCCGATGGGGGATGCTGTCACTTCTCGAGCCCATCCTCGACTCACGTACTCTCAAGTGGCAGGAACTCCTGTCATCAAGCAACGACCCCAGGCGGGGGTGGTCAAGGAGAACGGAGGTCGGCCGGCCAC